ACTACAGCAAAGGCAGAGCTGCTGAGCGGCTGGGAAGAGTCTGGGGCTGCTTTGGGGGTGCTGCTGGTTTCTCTCTCTTCTTCACACACACACATATGTATATATTCTAGTAAAGAACTGTTATTCCTCTTCCCATATCTTTGCCTGGAAGCCCTGTAATTTCAAGTTACACTAATTTGGAAGGAGGGGGCTATCTCTCCATTCCTGGGAGATTCCCAGCTTTCTTGGCATCTGTCTTTTAAACCAGGACAATCTGCTATTATTAATGGAAAAATTGACCTAGGAGGTAAAGGAACTCACAGAATTGCAGCTTCAGCCCTTGCCTAGGAGTTGTTCCTGATCTTCACAAAACAGGGGCTTCTATGGTTTGAAGAATAGTCTTTGAATGATCTCTACAGCCCAGCTTTTACCTCCCTCAGAGTGCTCCTTCCCACTGTATGTCACTACAGTCTGGCACAGTTCCTGTGCAGGTGACATCCACTGCCACCAACAACAGGACCACTTTACCCACCACCAGTGAGAGGGAGCGTGGATCATTCCATTTTTTCCCACATAAGATATGGAGCTGAAATCCCTGTTGTAAATCCTGCCAATTCTTTCTGAATCTGTACATAGAAGCAAAGACTCCTTGCACAGAATGTACCTTCTTGGAACCCTGGTGATCAGTGGCACAAAGTCTAGCGGTGGACCCTGGAAGGACAATGCTGAGTGCAGTCCTTTCTGACACCTTTGTTAGTACACTGGGTGATGGGGCCAGGCTGTGCCCTCCCACAAACCAGGAGGAGAGGCTGATCTGGCAGAGAGGAGTGCTGCCATCCAGAGGGACAGTTCAACAAGGGTGGCAGTTCAATGACAAGTGCTGAGTCCTGTCCTTGGGAAGGAAGAACCACAGGCACCGGTATCTGCTGGGGGCCACCCAGTTGGAAAACTGAGGTTTGGCAGGGTTCTGCTGGGCACCAGGATGCCCATGGGCCAGCAGTGTGCTCCTGCAGCAGTGCAGAACAGCGTCCTGGGCTGCACTGGGAGCTGTGTCTCAGCTGGCAGAGGGAGGGGATCCTTTCCCTCTGCTCCACAGCAGAGAGGACAGCCCTGGAGTGCTGGGCCCAGAGCTGGGCTGCCCAGTACAGGAGACAGGGACAGGCTGGACACAGTCCAGCACAGGGCCGTGAAGGCAATGGAGGGACTGGAGCATCTGTGCCATGAGGAGAGGCTGAGAGAGCTGGCACTGCCCAGCCTGGAGCAGAGCAGGCTCAGGGCATCTCATCCCTGGGGATAAAAACCTGGGGAGAGGCTGCAGAGGAGACAGGGCCAGGGACAGCTCCAGGGGCCTCGGGCACAAAGTGACACACAGGAGGGGCCCTCTGAGCTCAGGAGACACTTGTGCACTGGGAGGGTGGCCAAGCACTGGTGCAGGTGCCTGGGGAGGTGGGGGAGTCTCCATCCCTGGAGAGACTGAAAAGCCACCTGGACACATGCTGGGCAGCCGGCTCTGGGTGGCCCTGATGGAGCAGGGGCTGGGCAAGGTGACCTCCAGAGGTGCCTCCAGCCTCCCCCAGCCTGAGATTCTGTGACTCTGAGAAAAAACAGGCTGCAGTTTCCTAAGGGCAAATGAACAAGCTCCTCACATGGCAGGATTCTCCTGCCCTCACCAAAGTGGTGCATGGCACATGTGTCCCTTCTGCAGGTTCCTTCCTGGAGTGAGGATGCTCCTCAAGGTCACGCCTTGAGACTGAGAGAAAGGTTTGCCCATGGTCATGGGTTTGGGTGAGTAGCATCAATCGTTAAGAATTGGTTTTTGCTGACTTGACTGGAATTGCTTCAATGTTGTTTCAGATATAATGCACTATACTGGAAGTTACAGGTCTCTGTACTGGGCAGTAAATACACCTGAAAAAGATCTTTTAGTTTAATTGTGATCAGAATAAACTCTTTATTTCTCTATCAATATATCCTTCATCCTATGGAACACAGTTGTATAAAGGTTCAATTACTATTACCTATACTATCCTATACTATACCACCTTTAAACATAAACTACTGACTACGTCTAAAACTGCATCCAGCTGGCTCCTCTCTGAGATGTTCAGGAAGCAAGGAGGTCCCTTCTGCACCTTGTGTCTCCTGCCTGCTCCCTGCACAGCTCTCCAGGTGGTGCTGTCGGTCTCGGGCCAGCTGTGACTGCAGCAGGGACACCTGAAAGAGGCACAAGGCCCGGCTCAGACAAGCCCACACTGCCAGGAGCACCTGCAGCCCCACGGTACCGGCTCTTGGGGCACACACAGCCTCCAACTCCAGCCCTCAGCAACACTCTGCCCTTGGGCAAGGGGAAAGGAACAGGCTCCCAGACACAAGAGAGCTCAGAAGATCAACAAGTCCAGTTCAAGGCTGGCAAACCCTTCCCACGTCCATCCACCTCTCAGCCACCACAGGTCTATGCACAGTTCCTGTGCAGGTGACATCCACTGCCACCAACAACAGGACCACTTTACCCACCACCAGTGAGAGGGAGAGAGGATCATTCCATTTTTTTCCCACACAAGATATGGAGCTGAAATACTCCAGTCTGGCACAGTTCCTGTGCAGGTGACATCCACTGCCACCAACAACAGGACCACTTTACCCACCACCAGTGAGAGGGAGAGAGGATCATTCCATTTTTTTCCCACACAAGATATGGAGCTGAAATCCCTGTTGCAAATCCTGCCAATTCTTTCTGAATCTGTACATAGAAGCAAAGACACCTTGCACAGAATCTACCTTCTTGGAACCCTGGTGATCAGTGGCACAAAGTCTAGCGGTGGACCCTGGAAGGACAATGCTGAGTGCAGTCCTTTCTGACACCTTTGTTAGTAAACTGGGTGATGGGGTGCCCTAGTGTAATAAATAGCTGTGATTCGTGCAGATACAATTGAAACAGTAATTAATATTGATACAGAAATTAATATCTAGAAATAATAAAACAGGTAAAGGTGTAATGCCAAGAAAGAAAGGGAGAGGAGGGCCCCCTGCTCAGGCACCGGTATCTGCTGGGGGCCACCCAGTTGGAAAACTGAGGTTTGGCAGGGTTCTGCTGGGCACCAGGATGCCCATGGGCCAGCAGTGTGCTCCTGCAGCAGTGCAGAACAGCGTCCTGGGCTGCACTGGGAGCTGTGTCTCAGCTGGCAGAGGGAGGGGATCCTTTCCCTCTGCTCCACAGCAGAGAGGCCAGCCCTGGAGTGCTGGGCCCAGAGCTGGGCTGCCCAGTACAGGAGACAGGGACAGGCTGGACACAGTCCAGCACAGGGCCGTGAAGGCAATGGAGGGACTGGAGCATCTGTGCCATGAGGAGAGGCTGAGAGAGCTGGCACTGCCCAGCCTGGAGCAGAGCAGGCTCAGGGCATCTCATCCCTGGGGATAAAAACCTGGGGAGAGGCTGCAGAGGAGACAGGGCCAGGGACAGCTCCAGGGGCCTCGGGCACAAAGTGACACACAGGAGGGGCCCTCTGAGCTCAGGAGACACTTGTGCACTGGGAGGGTGGCCAAGCACTGGTGCAGGTGCCTGGGGAGGTGGGGGAGTCTCCATCCCTGGAGAGACTGAAAAGCCACCTGGACACATGCTGGGCAGCCGGCTCTGGGTGGCCCTGATGGAGCAGGGGCTGGGCAAGGTGACCTCCAGAGGTGCCTCCAGCCTCCCCCAGCCTGAGATTCTGTGACTCTGAGAAAAAACAGGCTGCAGTTTCCTAAGGAGAAATGAAAAAGCTCCTCACATGGCAGGATTCTCCTGCCCTCACCAAAGTGGTGCATGGCACATGTGTCCCGCCCTGTGTGTTCTCAGAGGCGTATCCAAACCTCAGTGGCCACCACAAGTGCCAATTACAAATCTGGCCGCTGATTGGTTTGACCACAACTTTTCCAAAAACTCACTTCCAGGTGAAACCGAGACAGGAGGGTTTTCATTTTGAGTTCTGTGTCTGTTCCTTTTTAGATATTGTAGTTACTAATTTTTTTTTCCTTTATTCTAGGTTGGAGCCTGCTTTGCTCTGATTCTGATCACACCTCACAGCAGCTACTAGGAAGAGTATATTTTCATGGGGGCACTGGCATTGTGCCAGCACCAAACCATGATGTGGGGCCAGGCTGTGCCCTCCCACAAACCAGGAGGAGAGGCTGATCTGGCAGAGAGGAGTGCTGCCATCCAGAGGGACAGTTCAACAAGGGTGGCAGTTCAATGACAAGTGCTCAGTGCTGTCCTTGGGAAGGAAGAACCACAGGCACCGGTATCTGCTGGGGGCCACCCAGTTGGAAAACTGAGGTTTGGCAGGGTTCTGCTGGGCACCAGGATGCCCATGGGCCAGCAGTGTGCTCCTGCAGCAGTGCAGAACAGCGTCCTGGGCTGCACTGGGAGCTGTGTCTCAGCTGGCAGAGGGAGGGGATCCTTTCCCTCTGCTCCACAGCAGAGAGGCCAGCCCTGGAGTGCTGGGCCCAGAGCTGGGCTGCCCAGTACAGGAGACAGGGACAGGCTGGACACAGTCCAGCACAGGGCCGTGAAGGCAATGGAGGGACTGGAGCATCTGTGCCATGAGGAGAGGCTGAGAGAGCTGGCACTGCCCAGCCTGGAGCAGAGCAGGCTCAGGGCATCTCATGCCTGGGGATAAAAACCTGGGGAGAGGCTGCAGAGGAGACAGGGCCAGGGACAGCTTCAGGGACCTCGGGCACAAAGTGACACACAGGAGGGACCCTCCAAGCTCAGGAGACACTTGTGCACTGGGAAGGTGGCCAAGCACTGGTGCAGGTGCCTGGGGAGTTGGGGGAGTCTCCATCCCTGGAGAGACTGAAAAGCCACCTGGACACATCCTGGGCAGCCGGCTCTGGGTGGCCCTGATGGAGCAGGGGCTGGGCAAGGTGACCACCAGAGGTGCCTCCAGCCTCCCCCACCCTGAGATTCTGTGACTCTGAGAAAAAACAGGCTGCAGTTTCCTAAGGAGAAATGAAAAAGCTCCTCACATGGCAGGATTCTCCTGCCCTCACCAAAGTGGTGCATGGCACATGTGTCCCTTCTGCAGGTTCCTTCCTGGAGTGAGGATGCTCCTCAAGGTCACGCCTTGAGACTGAGAGAAAGGTTTGCCCATGGTCATGGGTTTGGGTGAGTAGCATCAATCTTTAAGAATTGGTTTTTGCTGACTTGACTGGAATTGCTTCAATGTTGTTTCAGATATAATGCACTATACTGGAAGTTACAGGTCTCTGTACTGGGCAGTAAATAAGCCTGAAAAAGATCTTTTAGTTTAATTGTGATCAGAATAAACTCTTTATTTCTCTATCAATATATCCTTCATCCTATGGAACACAGTTGTATAAAGGTTCAATTACTATTACCTATACTATCCTATACTATACAACCTTTAAACATAAACTACTGACTACGTCTAAAACTGCATCCAGCTGGCTCCTCTCTGAGATGTTCAGGAAGCAAGGAGGTCCCTTCTGCACCTTGTGTCTCCTGCCTGCTCCCTGCACAGCTCTCCAGGTGGTGCTGTCGGTCTCGGGCCAGCTGTGACTGCAGCAGGGACACCTGAAAGAGGCACAAGGCCCGGCTCAGACAAGCCCACGCTGCCAGGAGCACCTGCAGCCCCACGGTACCGGCTCTTGGGGCACACACAGCCTCCAACTCCAGCCCTCAGCAACACTCTGCCCTTGGGCAAGGGGAAAGGAACAGGCTCCCAGACACAAGAGAGCTCAGAAGATCAACAAGTCCAGTTCAAGGCTGGCAAACCCTTCCCACATCCATCCACCTCTCAGCCACCACAGGTCTATTAGAGAGACTTCCAACAGCATTTAGAAACCCGGCTCTGCTTTCCAAAGCACACATTTGGGCCACTGACCCTCTTCTCCACAGGCTGTGCATCAGCACGAGGGCTGCTACTCTCCTGAGCTACTGGAGGACTCTTCTGTTTCAAAAGTGGACCAATTTTGATGGGCAGACTTGTGGACAGAGAACATGAAGTAGTCTGGGAGGAAGAGTCTCCTAAAAGCTCTGATTCTCCTGTCAGGTTCCACCTGCAATTTGGATGGAAGAGAGGGTCACAGAAACCTGTCAGCAAATACGGAGCAAGAGGACCTCTGGACATCAAGGCAAGGACATCCCTACTCTGAGACCCTGAACGGCACCAGACAACACTGGGGGCAAAAAGCTCTTGTTGGGGGCTGTGCAAGAGAGGCCAGTGTGTGTGTGCAGGGACACGGGGCCAGGGAGGGAGGCAGTGGAGTGAAGGTGCCCTTGTGAAAGCCATGGGCTGGCACAAGAGAGAGAAGAAACAAAGGGGTGTGCCACAGCAGGGACAGGGAGAGGCAAGGGAACAAGCAGAGGTCTCCAAAGCGCTGCCTGGGCTAACGTGCCATGTTCCAGAGGAGCCTGAGGCTCTGCAGAGGCAGCGAAAGCCCAATTTACCTGCTCGCCACTTCTCCTGGGCACAGTGGAGAATTCAGGCCTCTCTCTCTTCTGCTCTTCTGCTGATGCAACTGGCTCCTTTAGTTCCAGGCTGGTCCCTGAGCCACGCTCCTCTTGTGCTCCAAGAGCCTGCTGGGTATTCAGAGAGGAGATGATGCCCATATTTCAAACACCACAAAAGCTGTCCCTCAGAAATCTCCATCATGGAAAGCATCCTCAGAGCACCAGCAGTGCAGCTGCTGTTCAGCCTCTCGATACTAAACTCAGTTTAGTCCATCACTCTGCTCACCTGCTCCATTCCTTTGCACACAGAATCCAAACCCCCATGTGTTGCCTTCCCTTTTTGTGGGCACAGCAGAAGCAGCTCCACCAGCAGCTCCCCATGCCACAGCTTTTGGCCTGGAGCTGATTTGAACAGCAAGCTCCAGAGCTGGATTGGTCATTCCAGGCATGCCAGGAAACAATCAGGGTGTCAGTGGTCTCTGGCTGGAGCCAGGCAGACAGACAAGGCTGCCTGCTGCAGCCCGGGCTGCTTTACCCAAGCAGGCCTGCACTGACAGGGACAGAGACCCACCTCTTCATGGGAAACATCACTGGAATAATTCAGGGACACTGGAGTAGAATGAAAGTCAATGCCATTGTCTGCCTGAACACAATGCTGTCCCTTCAGGAATGCCAAGCGCTTCTTCAGAGCCCCTTTGGAAATTTTACACTTGGCCAGTGCAGCACTCCGAGTGCTCCCACTTCTTCCTTCCTTCAAAGCAGCAGCACCATTCTCCAATTCTTCTTGCTTGGTTTCCTTTTCAGTGTCCAACAGTTGTTGCATTTGTTCCTTTTGACTCTGCATGTCAGATTCATGCATTTCATTCTCCTTTTCCAGATATCTCATGTGCTGCTGATACAATTCCCGTTCATGCTGCAAAACAGGGAGAAAAAGGGTCACTCATTCCCTCTCTCAGTTTGCTTTTCATACCAGATCTGGACTCCTGCTGCAGGG